ACATTATATCTAACTGCAAAAAAAATTTGAACTTCAGAAAGTCATGGGTTTATTAGTTATTGAGATTTTTAAAAATAATAATTTCAATAATAGATGCCGCTCCTATATAAAATAACGCATTTTTGTTAAAATTATTTATTTTTTTAAATTTTTTTTAATTTCTAAACATAAATAATACTAAAAAATAATTTTTTTTTGTTATATAAGCAACAAGATAATGATTTTATAATATCTAACGAGTCACAATAAGGTGGTGTTTTAAACGGCTCAAGATTTTAGCCAAAATTAAATTATCCAAGCGAGATTTTGCAAACATTTGGCGGAAAGGTTTGGACATCTATTGTCAAAATTTTGAGAGTTAATAATATTTTAGATAAGATCTTGTTAACCGTTTTTAAAAATCGGCTAAATCGAGGCGTTTAACAACACTATATTCAGCCATAAATATTGTCCATATTTTAATGGAGATAATTATTATTTTGAGAATAAAAAAAAACAAAATACAATTAATAATTGGTAAAAGTTTTTTTTGAAAAGAAGAATATTTTATGACATTGATTCAGTAATAGAATTCGGATCGTTTTTTGCAGTAATATCGGATCGATTAAAAATTTATGGATCGTCTCAGCCCGAATATGAACTAAATTTTATTAATATTTTATCTAATTAATATATTTCTTAATCTCAAAAATTTATAATCCTCCAAAATTACGACGAATTTGAAAAAAATATTATTTGTTAAATTATTTCTCTTTGGGCAATTTATATTTTATATTCAATATATCTAATTTCATATTTTTATAAGCCAAATCGGTTGTTATTTTTTATAATTATAAGATAATGAAATTGTTAATATTTATAAAAATCAACATATTTTATTCGATTTACAATTAGTGATGATAAATGGATCCATTTTGATCCAACTACAAAACGCTTAGCCGAATTTTCAGTGAAAAATATCAGCTCAATCACGAGGTTTAAACCAAAAACGGCTCAACATAGAGGGAAATTCGAGGAAATAAATTAGCTAGTTTCGTTTCGCTCTTCAAGGATAAGCTGAATTAGCCGATTTTGCGAGATTCTTTGCAAATGTATATTAAAAAATAACGAAATTGCAGTATAAAACCTGTTTATAATCAAGGTTTCTCGACTTTGAGCGTTTCAATTTACGTCGCAAAAAATTTAAAATATGCATAAAATAGATTTAATCTCGGTCCCTTAAGAACCTAATATATGAAGGGATTATATTTAAACTTCTTACGCGATAAAAAAATAAAAGAAACAAATACCGATACAAAAATAAGATTTTTATAAAAATTATAATATTTTATTTATAATATGAATCAATTTATTATCATTTTTATAATAATATTTTAAATAACCTAAAAATTAATCAATTTACTAATAAAAAATGTATAATAAATAATATGCCATTGCTTAAAAGTTCATTTCCGGCAAAATTAGATTTATAAATTTAAAATAACGCGCTCAATTAATGGTTTAAAATGCAAAATAGGTGTACCCATTCTATAGAATTTTATAATGAATTTTAAAGAAATTTCAATTTAAAATGAAAAACCTAATGCGCATGTCGGGAAAATCTATTGAACTATTGCCTTATCAAAAACTAAGCATCATAAAATCTCGAAATAATCCGGTAATTCGGCACCAATGCTGGTGATTGCAGGATTAGACAGTATAGCGAGTAATTGAATAATTTAGATAGTATTTAGTATTTGTATTTTAAATGCTATAAAAAAATAAAAGGTATGTTTTGAATTCATGATTTCAAATAGATATATATACTTTTATTTTTTGTTAATTAAAATAAATTGAATTATAACTGTAAAAATCTACAAATTATTTCTTTAAAATCTTAATTTTGTGATCCAAGTTGGAGAAAAGAATAAAAATTTTATATGTTATAAAATAAATATACATCACATTCATTTATAAATAGCCAAATGTATATTTTTAAAATATAAATATCATCACTTAATTTTAATTGATATTTTTAACTGAAATTATATAAATTCAAAACTGTAGGTATGAAAACAAGATTGAATAAAAAAAGGATTGTTACAAAATGTAAAAGAAAAATAATGTAAAAAAAAAATACCAAATGAAAAATGAAAGATAATTTAATATAACGAAGATAAATCTAATCAGTTTGTTTGTTGTCCGGCATTTTTCTGGTTAGGATAAATAAGATACTAGCAATATTTAATCCAAAATAAATATTTTGAGAAGACTTTTAATATTTATTATTGTAATAATAGATAACCATACAGGGAGAGATATAAGAGTCTTAAATGACATGAAAAGATTAGATACAGATATTAAAAATGTGGCGGAAAATGCATACAAAAAACTTTAACGGGGGATTGACTTTTCCCAAAAATTTTATCGACCGGGTCGGGCCAATTTTTTGTAAAATTTTAACGAACCTGGCAAAAAATTAAATGGGATGTGTGCAAAAATTATTAACGTGCCGAAACGGGACGGGTGGGCTTTACAGATCTAAACTTTGAACATAGATAGTTCACGCAGAAGTTTCCTTACTGATAATATGTTTCTAGTTCTTGCTTTATACAAAAAAAATGCTAATTAATACAAAACATTAATCATTCAAATAAGCTCAAAGGTTAACTTATATAAATATCAGACTAAACTGAATTTATATTTTTAAGCTTTGAGCTAAGCCGGATGTAGGCACGTTCAGCAGAAAACCTGCTAAGGCATAAAGGCTGAGTTAATATATTTCTACCATCTAGTTGAGCTATATTTTCAGGTCAATTTTCGGCTAAAAATGGGTTTGGGCGTTTTTAGCCGGCTAAAAATAGAGCAATTACCAAACTATATAGCTAGTATGGTACCGGACAAAAAAATGTTGTATGTGAGCACCTTTGCTTAAATGAAAAAATGAATTGATTCAAGCCTTGAATGGCAAGGTGGGAAAAAATAATAAAAAAACAATTATTTTATTATTTTGGCTAATTCAAAAACAAGAACTCACAAAAACAAAATGAAAAGTAGGCATATTGTTTTTGATCTTCCAACCTACAGTCATAAACATAAAGATTTTTTGTCAAAATAGAAAAATGAAAATATCTATAAAAATAAAAAAATCATATTATTATATTGTTGAATATTTATAACTAATATTTCTATACTTAAATAGGAATTGGATCAAAAGCGAAAAAATTATGGTAAACTAAAAGTGTAATACCATTTCTGAAAAAGCTAAAAAAATTAAAATGAAAGAATAAATGTTTTAAAAAATTTGTTTAAAATACGAATCAAAAAATCCAAAATTTTTCTTTATTGCCGAGCTCGACTTATGTGGTTTCATATATTTGCATATATTATATAAGTTTCATTAAATATAACCTTTCTTAATTTTTTTTTCTTTTTCAGAGTAGCGCGCGATATTATATTTAATATTGCAATCTCTTTTAATAAGAAAATGTTTCTTATATATACTGGAATAGCAATTATTATATTATTGAAATTAAATAAAACTATTTTCCAGGGATGTGAACCTTTCGACAAAAAAAAGGGTCCAGGTCCGGGTACAGGAATAAATTTGAAAAGGAGCCGGGTAGGGTTCGGATTCAGGGAACATAAAAATAATGACTCAAAATAAGATTTTTTTTTCATTTATTTATTATTATACTTCAATATATACATATTCATAATTTACAAATTAAAAATTTAAAAATGAAATAATTTATATTTTAAATGTTTTATTCAATCACACTATCATAATATCTTCTAAAATATCATCCTTGAGATTTCCACATAAAGTAGACAATATATTCCAAGATGAAAATTCAGGTTCTACCCTAACTTAAAATAGATAGTTATCTTTATAAAATTATTGTACTTGTGTCGCCGGTACAGTCATGAAAATTCTATATAAGATATATAATTCTGGATATATTGAAGAATTTTCTTCCCAGAATTTTAAAATATTTATAACCTTATTTAATCTCTTAACTTCTGATAAATTTGCTATTAAAGATGCAATAGGCATTTTTTGATTCTCCTTTCCATCTGATGATAATTTGATATTTTTTTCAAAAATAAAATTTCAAGATCATCTATGTTGCTATCATTATTATTATTATTATCACTACAATCAATAGGTATTGTCGTAGCCTCCAATATATTGTAAATAATGGAGTTTTGTGTATGCCATAAATTCTTAAGATGGTCTTTAGCCATTTGTTTTTGCTCAATACTCAATACTCAATAAAACTTGATATCGAGTGTCTAAATATATAGAAGCGTATACAACACTATTTTGCAAATTTTGTTGCCTCGAATTTTCATGTTTTCTAATATTTCGTATAAAAAGGACTGATTTTTCTAAATCTAATCGGCATCTAATCCTATAAAAATCAAATAAACATAATTGTTCTGATTGTAATCTTAATATTGTTATTTATAAAGGAACTAATACACTAGTAAGGTCCTTTATTTGGCACTAATCATTTTCCGACAAAATGACTTCACATGCTTCTATAATAAAATCATTACAAATCTTTCAAACTTAATCGTTCTAGCATCATACAAATTGAGGACCAACGTGTTGTGCATTATCATTTAAATTAAAATATTATTACACAATTCACTTTAAAAATAATCATATTTCTATAACATAGCCTATTAAAAAATTTACATAATAAAATATTATTACCTATACTAATGATATCAATCACGAAATAAAATGGAAATCCAGGAAGAAAATTGAAAGAAAAACACGAAGATAAAATCAATGATTCCACAAAAAAAAGTAAAAAAAATTTAAATTATTTTTTAAAAAAATATTATATTTTTATTTTTAAAAATTTTTATGACACCTAGAACCCTTGTGACCCTCCACTTTTAAAAAGGGTCCGGGTTTGGGTTCACATCCCTGCTCTTATCACTTTTACTAAAATATATTATAACTATAAAAACCTATTTTTCGATTGTATAAAATGTAATTAACTAACCTTACGACCTCGTGGAAACATACTATATGCCGTTCATCTTCGTCAGACTCAATTTTAAGTCGGGACTCTCTGTCTCTCTCATTTTTGAGGTATTGGCTATGATTGTAAACATGATTTTCTCCGTCAATAAATGAAGCATTTTCTTTATCCTTAAATCTAAAGTCAGGATTCGTATTTATATTAGTGGTTACGGTAGTTAGAGAGTTGCAAGGTTTTCTTTCTGAAATGAGGATTTGACCTTTGCATGTAATAAATAGAAGAAGGTTATAGTATTTAACAATAAGTGATAGTTCATAGTCCTGTGTCCAAATTATATACAAATGGAATAAGAAAGTTATAGATTTATAAATATTGATTAAAAGAGTATATAAACGATTCCATTTTGACCACCTGATAGATTATGCTTTTGTATAGGGGAGTATTTTGTATTAAATTTGGATGGCTTAATTGGCTTGAATGTTAGCCTTATACTAATATATAATTTGATTATATAGTAGATTTAAACAATAACTGGCAAAGAATACGAACCAATGAAAGACAACCCACCACCTATTACGTGAGAGAGAACATTATTTTCCACTAGATAAAAATTGCAGACAATTGGTTATTTTAAGGTACTACCTACTTCCTGCAAACAGTCTATGCCATAAGCATAGCAAATGGGGAGGAACCCCTTCAGAAAGTTTTTTCGTATATCAAACTAATAAATTCCCCTACTCACCCCTCACCCCCTCTCTTCCTAAAATGTATTTATGTGTAAAATTTCAAAAAAAAATTAACAAAGCTGGACCAGGCCCTTACCTCTATTGGTCTCTAATATTAATAATCACAGTGAGAAAAAGTTTGAAAATGTAAAATGCATAACTTTCTTTAGCTCTTCCATTGTATTGTTTTTTGTCTTTGTCACTGGATTCAAGGATGGAGAAGTGATTAAAAGATTTTTTGGAACTATTAATGTTAAAAGTCATGTTAGAACTACTAACCAGAGAGGCTTGAGTATTGATCCAAGCGTAACCTCCTTTGTTGACCAATAGCCTGTAAAAACATGTTTGAACCTGACCTTTTTTGTGCACTGTCAATAGTAGTTATTTTGTGTAAAAATAAATTAAAATAAAAATACATCTGCATTCTTCTTTTATTCTTTTTTTTATTAACTTAAATATAAGACAAAAAAAACCTCTAACCAGTTAGAACTAAGCTTTAGAAGTCTTACTCAATTATTATTTTACAAAATTTACTTAAATTATACATTTTCTTAATTCTGATATGAAAATGGTAAAGTAAAATTTCGAGTTCTTACGATTTTGCAAGCTTTTTCTAAAGGTCTCGAGATCAAGCACGTGTATGTAATCATAGTAAGATCTACCAACCAGTTGCCAGATTTCGTAACCCAATATATCCGTTACTCTGGGGTACATGTAAAAATTATTATTATATTAATATATATTTTTTTCTAAACATAATCTCAAATAGAATTTTCTTTTTCGAAGAATATAGCAATAGACTAATTTAGTCGCTAAAATTTTTAGTCGAATTTTTTGACTAAAACTATTAGTTAGTAGTCTATTAGTCGACTAAATTTAGTCGATTAACAACACTAAGTAAAATAGTAAGATCGGGTTTCGGGGATTGCCATATTTTAAATACTTTTCTGCTGAGGGTGGGGGGGGGAGGGTTCATGTTTAAAAATGTCGGATCTACAAGTAATCTTAAAATAGCTCAAGAAATATTATATTTATTTGTTCTCCCAAAATATTAATTCTAATTTTTGTGGTTTTTTAATTGCCAGTGCTTCACACCACCGATTGTCATATTTAAATAGGTTGACGATTGACGGAGGCGCGAATTGAAACATTTTAATTATATTTAAAAATAAGATCTTATTTTTTTTAAAAAACTATTATTATTTACTATAAAACATTTGATTTGTCTAACAATAATTTATGCTTGTTTATATTTGTTTATAATAGGTATTGTATTTATAAACATTTTTTGACTATATTTTTATTGCTATTTTAACATTAAATATAAACATAATTGATTAAAATATTATGGACGTTATGAGATCAAATTCTGTAACATAATAAATAAAAAATAGCATTGCCAGCAATGCCTTCTTTCGAGTGGAAACATGTTAGATATATTAAAAACTGTTATCATTTGCAATGCATATTTAAATCATTAATTTTTTAAAAGTTTGATTTTATATGACCAAGTTTTTATGACCAAAGTTTTAAATGTAGAGATTTATAATTTCTACATCATCTTATTTATGTTAGTTATATCTTTATTCATATTAAATAGGAGTACTTTTTTATTTTCATTTAAATATATGAAAAAGCAATTTCAAATTTTTACAAACATAAGCACTCACATTTACAAATTGATAAGATAGGCTACATTATAAAATACAAAAAGAATTCTACTGTACGGTTACAAGCTTAGTTGAGGATAATGATGATGCATAAAACATGTTGAAGATTTTAACTCATAGATAGGCCTGTCATATTATATATTTAATCTACTCTAATATTTAGAGGCAAGTGTAAGGGAATAAATATTAAATATTTTAATGATCTATTAAGAAGAATCCTAGGTTAGATACAGATAATATACAAGCATATTTAAGGCAATTACTATGTAAAATTTATAGAGAAAACAGAAAAATATTGGCAAAATAATTTACCAAAAAGTTACAAATATCGACCTCAAAGTTCAGCAAAAGATCTTTAAAGTTTCTAATTCTATCATAAAATCATACATGTATTATAAAAAAAAATCATAGAACATATCAGCTTATGCCGAAGAATGGACATATCTGGTATTAATATTAAACACCAAACCAAGCCAAATCAGAGAAATATTTAGCTAAATAACGTTTTCTAGGGGTGTACCGATACCACTTTTTGTAGGCCGATCCGATCCGATATTCCAGATATTAAATTGATATCGGCAGATAACCAATCCGATATCATATCTAATTTTGTATTCTGTAAAGATACCGGTTTTAATTTTTAATATACTTTTTATTAGTACAACATCTATAATTTTACTATACCATAACATATGTCATTATATTATAATGATCAGTTTTTATTCAATTCAATTGCTATTATTTATATAAGTAATCACATTAATCTATTTACATAATTAGTAATAAACAAATATATTATGAAATTTGAAATTAATATATCGAAGATTTCTTTTTAGAAATACCAAAATTTCCAATTTATCAGAGATCGACTGTTAATATCACTAACATCACTAAAAACAGATTCTGAAGAGATTAATGAACACTTTTTTAAACAGAATGCGAAAAAAGATAACTATATTGCAGAATGTTTATTAACTAATTATTACTATTAAAAAAAATTAAACATAAAAATTTATTTCGATTTTATTTATAAAAATAAATGGTTTTTTAGATATAACTTTTTTTAAATTTTTTTAAAAGCGCCATTTAATATCGGATCGGATAGGAAAATTTTAAAATATTTGCCGATAATCCATATTTTAAAATGGGCGAAATATCGGCCCGATCCGATCCGATATAAAATATCGGTACATCGCTAGTTTACAGGCTTATAATTTTGAGTAGTGGAATGTAAAAAGAATGTCTTCTTCTTCTTTTGACATTGGTTAATCTAAATTTAGAAACAAGTTTAAACTAAAAAAAAAAGTTGGAGAATTTCCTTTTAAATATTTTATTTGTTATTATTGACTTACATTAAAAAAAGATAAACTAGTTATGCATATATTATATTTGATCTGATATTTTTTAGTGTTACAAATATAAGATAAATAAATTGGTGGAAATTGAATATTATAATTTAATTTTTATTTTAACTAAATAATTTTCACTTATTAAACTGCTAAAACAAGTTTAAATAATACTCAAATGGTATTTGTATTAAAATATGAAGTTATTTGTAAGTAATGAATTTTGATAATTATGTTTAGTTTCCATATCCTGCACCACCAAAAAAACAGTTTTGATATTGATGCCGAAAACGATAATCATACATTTTCTGAATAAGTTTGTTTACATAATTTTTAAATATTTGTGATTTTCGGATTAGTTCACCACTACCAGGATGCCACGGCAGATTAGAGTTGTCAGAACTCATGCGGCGCTTTGATAAATATAAAGGCTATTTTTTAATATTCAAAAAAACAACTTACTTAAATTTAACGTTTTGATTATTTTTAGATAAACAAAAGTGCAGGGATTGCCTCGTAGTGGGGACCCAGGATACGTAGGGAATTGCCTTAAACTTTTTAGGAACTCAAAAGATAATAATGACGAGTGTTTTTATTAGGGGCTAGTGAAAAGGCATGAGAGCCCGCAGCATCGTTTTTATATCATTGCAGAAGGGCTGGGCCTTATAAATTATTTCCGTGTTTAGGACTAAGCTGGAAGATAGGTCCTACCAGTCATCGAAATGTAAATACAGACGACTGAGAAGCATTTAGCTATGAAAAAACCATTTAAAGTAATGATTTGCTTAACTGTTATATTTAAAAAAAACTCAAATATTCAAAAAATAGGATTAAAAACAATTTTTCCTTGAATATTCATAAAAAATAACAAAATTTACTTTAAATTTAAAAAATTATTTGAATTAGTATATAAAAATGCTGTCAAGGCTACTTTAAAGTAGTGCGCTATAGCTAAAACTACTTACCAAAATCCAAAATTAAGTAGTTTCGTTAATAATTAGCTACTTTTCAAAAAAAAATAGAGTGCTTTAGCTATTATATTTTAATGTAACATAGATATTTAAGTAGTACCTTAAAAACTATGCGTAAATTTTTTGTCCTCAAGTAAGCGAGAATAAATAAAGTATTGCAGCCCCAATATTTTTTTTAAAATTTTTATAAGAATAATATCACATATAATAAAATATTTTTATTATAGTTTTAATTAATATATTTTGTATTGCTTTTAAGAGAAGATGTCTCTAGTGTTGTTAAATGGCCCACTTTGAGATCAAAGGTTTGAACATCCATTAATGAAATCTCAAGGCTCAGACAGTACATTTTCGGCTAATTCATCTGTTTTTAAAAATAGGCTCAAATCGAGCAGTTTAACAACAATAGATGACTTCAAGGTTTTTATCTAGCAAAAAATATCTTTTTTCCTCAAAATATCATTTTCTAGAATAAATATTCTCTCAAAAGGAAAACTGGAGGGATATTACACTTTGTGTAGGAAAGAGAGAACTCTTTAAATATTGTGATATGATATGGATGATCTCAAAAAAGTTTGTTATATAATCAATATTATTTATATCATTATTTTTATCATCCTCGTCGGAAACATCACCAAAAATTAGAGAACACGAGATATACATGTTTTTTAAGTGATTTTTTTTAAATGTTGAATATAAAGATGATAAAGTATATAGTTCCTGAGCTGAGATAATCTCTAGATTAGTTTATCCTTAATTATTGTGTATAATTCTACTTTCAATCACGTCAAAAAAAACTCATGATACTAGCTTCCCCTCTTTGTTTTGCCTTTTCTTAAATAAAATTTCTAAATTAAATCTAATATATATTTATGATTACGAATAATATCATTTTCCAAAATTTAAATAAATGAAGAAAGAAAGTGAAAGGATTTGAATATATATATTTTTAAAAAATATCCATTTTATTTATTCAATTATAAATAGAAAATAGTTATACCCATAATTTTATATTCCCTAAAATTTAAAAAGTAATAAGTTGATATTTTACATCTATAGCTAGTTTAATATCATTGGTATAATATAAACAAAATATAAGTTAAATGAAAAGAAAAACAATTTTATTACTACAATTATAGGATTTAAATGAAATTTTTAATAATATTGAAGAATATTGAATGGGAATAATATATATAATTTATTCAACTCAAATTTAAACCTTTCATCGAAATACATGATCTTCATGTCCAATTTGTGCTTGCTTACCAGAAAAGGTGGTACAGGGGGTATGGGTTCTTTAATAAGGTTAGGTAAACCAGCCTCCTGTTTCATGTATTCATTCATTTTCCCATTTGGTAAAGTTTTTGTAATGTTGGGACCACAGAATTTACCTTAAAATTTTAAAATATAATTGTAAATTTAAAAAGATTTTTTTAAAAAAAATTATCATTTTAAATTATTAGACAAGCTGAACCCGTTCTTAACTAGGACCTAATTTTAAAATTTCAATTTTCGACCGGCAACAGATCTAATTTTTTCAAACTCAACTTTTCATTAAAATTTATTGATCATTTATATATTATTTAGCCTACTTTATAATATATTTCACCGCTAATAAATTTCATGTTAGCAATAAATATTTTCTTCACACATCTTTTAAAATTTTATTCGACTATAAAAATTTTGTAAAATTTATTTATCTTTTATATATTATTTAGCATACTTTATAATATATTTCACCGCTAATAAATTTCATGTAAATATTATCTTTACACATCTTTTAAAATTTTATTCGCTTTAAAAATTTTGACCTTATTTTAAAGAAATCGGGTACAGATTCGGAGCAATAAATATAGCGGACAGGGGTCAGACCACAAAAATAAGGGTCCAATGTAGCGCTCTAATTATAATTCAAAAAAGATTTACCCCTAAAACTTTTACATTTAAATCAATTTTGAAGAAATTTTTTTTATAAAAAACATCATGTTAAAATATGGACTATCTTTTGTACAGAAAAACATTACTCAAAATTAATTTGAAAGGTATGGAATAAACCCTTTAATAAGATTTTTTCCCCTTCCCAGACTCAATTTCCATCAAAATTGTTAGAACTTAATAATAATCAAGAAAAAATATATAAAGTCATTTAATATATTAACATTCATTTCATCTATATGCTCAAGTCAAATTAAAGAATATAAAAAATCGTTAAAAAAATCTATCATTTTGTGACATGCTCAGAAATATAAATTAATCTCAGATAAATTATTGAAATTATATTTTAAAGGCTAATAAATAGATATGTCAAGGCTCTATAAAAAAAATAGCAAATAGAGACTTACGGGAAAATAGAAGCGCGCGAGATTTGATAGCGGATTCGAACAGAGACCCGCATACGGGAGCCGCTATTATCAAACTGCAAAGAGATGTGACGCTAGGTACATTGGTCTTGTTGCTAAATGACTTGTAAAACGTATGACCGAATAAGTGCATCACCTTATGTAATTAATTTACATAAAGTATAAAAGAAAATCATAATTTTTGATAAATCGATAAAATAAAGGAGCATATGGTTATGATTTTTAAAATAGCGGCTTGTGATGCTGAATCGTGCATGCACACCATGTGAAAAATCACAGTAAAAGTTAAAAATAAATGGTAATAGGAAAAAAGCCTGGAAGAAAACCCCAGGTAAAAAGGTAGGGAAAAGGGTCTTTCAGGTAATTAAGCTAGGAGTAGGGTTATACAGTTTTTTTTTAAATCAACTTGGATGTTAAGGAAAAAAGATAGAAATGATAGATTAGAGACATGGGTTACCTTTAACTTATATATTAAAAAATGGTTTAATAAAATTTGGTCATTGCTGAGTAAAATATCTCTATTGTTATTTCTTAAATAATGATGTAAGCCATTTTATAAAAAAAAATATTTAATCTGGATTCATTGTTTTTCCAAAGTGCATTATTGGGGGCTTTTCTTGAATTTTTTTTTCTAGGAAATGTTTTTCCTTGATATTTTTCCAAGGGGAGGGGGAGTTTATTCCGGGAAAGTTCCAAGTACCAATTTTCACGGAATCTAAGAAAATATAAACTTGTATTGCCCTTTTTAGAATGGTCCTTTTAAGTTTATTAGCATGCCAATATTAATATTTATGCATAAAGCATACCACTTCATTCTTTATAATATAATTTAAGATATTACAAACTTAATCTGGTTAACTTTTTTTACAAAAGAATCCAATCGATTAATAAAATCAATATATGTCCAAACTTTGTAATTGTGCTGTTGATTCAGTATATTCCTATTAAGTCTGGGTTGATGATGCACCACGTGATTGACTTCCCATCCATTATCATTATCCTTGTCATTTTCATCTGTAGTAAAAACATTAGCTGTCTTGATGCTCAGGGATTCTAGGGAAGGTTTTAAATCAAAGTCATTAACAATAGCTCGATCATTCGTGCCCCCATTTTTCTTATGCCCACCATGCGCACTATCAAAATTTATCTTTGTTCCGTTATCTCTATCTGAAGCAATGATTTTATTACTGCTAATATCAATATAGTTTTTATTGATATCTTCCTCGTCTGATTTACCCTTTGATATAATATCCTTCCCTTCCTCTTCGTTGCTTAAATTCGCGTTACTGGCAGAAAGCGAGCATAAACATTTGAGCCTAACCACTATATCAACCGGAGTTGAGCCATGAGTCTTTGAAGGTTTGTGGTCAGGTAACAGAGGCGGAAGGGTTGGGAGGCTTGAAATATCTTTTTGGTCACAAGGGTGAACGAAATCTGATATTTTCTGGCCCAGCAGGCATATCTAATATAAAAATATGTAATGTGTTTGTAATGTAGATATCTTAACTTAATATTTTAAAAAATTAGACATAGGTAAAAATAAAACTGATTGGAGTTATGATTTTAATAGTCATGTCGTGACTTGTGTCCCTTCATATTACCTACTTACCAAAAATCGATATAATAATTATTTTAATTTTGAAAAAAATGCTCATAAATTTCAAGACATATGAAAGTAAATTTTAAAAATTTTAATCGAAATCGAATGGCAATTAGACTAATCAACGCCAAATTAATGAGCATAGTGTTATCATTCCATTATTTTATGGCCATATTTTTTATGCCGTAAAAAATTCCGGAGACAAAAAAAAGATTTACGATAAAAAATTATTGGATGGGTGAAGTTAACGCTTATTTTAGAAGTGATCTTAATTCTATCTGCCCGTTAAAAAAAAGATGAGAGACGATGTGATATAATCAAATTAAAAAAATGAGATAGCATATCATATAAAATTAGTTTCTAGTGCCAATCCTGACCGGTCTGAAAATATTCATATTGAGTGAAGAAAATTGATAAACAAGATGAACTTGATTATAATATAATTATAATTATAAAAGTTTTTTGAAAAGTAACGATGGTATCTGTAGTTAAGTAAGACACAGTTATATTTCACTGACCTGAATAGGTATTTCGAGCAGGTCAATTTTTTGGGCTGATATCGAGAAAATATTTATCATTTCATTTGTAAGGAAGGATCTTTATTTTAAAGCTCGTTTGAAATTGAATTTTTTTGAAAGTCTAAATTTTTTTATCACTTAAAAACTTGATTAATTAAAAAAAATAGTCATATGGTTTATTATATAAAAATAGAAGTCAAAACTTTATTTGACGATATATAATGAACTTTCAAAAATATATAAAGTATAAAGTACCTTAGATATTCCCAGATATTGTTGAACGTTATCAGATAGGTATATCAAAGTTCCATTTTCGGAAATTATCATGAAAAAGCAATCTAAAACTTTTAAAAAATCCTGGTTTAATAAATCGCATGGATGCGAGATAGGAAGATCATTGCTTGATGGGTATATTTTTGGGATATTGGGAAAGTCTGTAGGAAGGATATAATAATATATGAGTATAAAAATATTAATATCAGTATCGAATCAGTGTGGATATTTAAACCTTTTTAAAAAGATCAGATCGTCAGATATTTGCAAAATAGATTCCCTAAAAAGAAGTAATGGCTGCCTAAAGGTGACTATAAAGAAAGGGTTATAAAATTTAGAAAAAGGATAGGGTAATCCAGGAAGGTGGTATGTTTAGATAATTAGAGGGTCATATTTATAAAGAGATTTTGTCATAGATAAAACGCCTCATTTACATCTCCATAATTAACGGGTTTATGTTATACGGTGTCAAAGGTACTGTTTAACAAATCTGTATTTTACATTTTTTGTGTGGATCACCACTGCCACATATGGTTATAACATATACAAATACTTTGGGTGCTTTTCGAATAACGTCTGTGGCCTAATCGGTAATAGAGGATATCATTTACTGTATAAATCCGGGTTCGAATACAGAAAAGGTCAGGTTTTTCTAAGGCTAACCTAGGTAGTTGCAACTGGGTATGAACAAAATTTGGTTATTGTTTAACAAATTGCTATATGTTGAGCTGGCGCCGTTTAATAATTAACGTAGGTTAGCTGTGAAAAACAATTAAGATAGCCTAGGACAAGTTTATAGGGGAGAGTTTTATCGATATCGATTGAAAGAAAGTGATTGGCAAATAGAATTTGAAAAGTTTTTAATTTATTTGTGAAATAGTTTGGCATTAATGCTTTGTTCAGATATAATATCCTTTAAATTATTTAATATTTTTGAATATATATTATAAATAAATTTTGAGCCCTGTTCATAGTGTCTTTGTTGATGTTGGATGAGGAGTTAGTGTCTAGGCATGAATAATTCCATAATAAAAATACCTTGTAACCATGGATTTCGTTTGATTCTGTCAAGACGTCTGCGATCGGGAAAGAGATTTAAGGATTCTAATGAAGAAAACCCGATCAACTCAGTGCAAAGAATATGACTTAATTGCATTTCGCATGTCGGGTTTGTCGGCCAGAATTGCTATTAGTATAAGGGATGCAACGCAATACTGTCATCATCAGTATGACATTTGCTACCTCTACATAATAAGAAAGGAATATTGACTCTGTTACATAGGGCGTAGCTGAGCTCGAGTTATTCAATTAGTTTGAGGTTTTTCGATGTAAGCTCTAAAAACTCATATCCCCGATCCTTGATACGTTTATTGAATGTGTATCTAAAGGTGAAAAAGTTGAAATAAGGTAATCAATCAACGGAGCTTTTCAGAAGTTAGATCCCAATCTATATTTTATAGAAATTGGAAATTCGGTTGTGGTGGCAACAGATTTTGACCATTCCATCCTAGCTAGATTTAAAAAAGCTGATATATGTTTGCCGAATAGCGTCTGTGCTTATAGGTGGCTAGCGTAGTGAGGATCTAAAACCAAGGCCTCCAAAGAGGGCATCGTGGATTGCAGCAAATCTATGTCTGTAAACCTGATGTTTAAGTAATCGCTAAGAATAGCTTTTATCCCGTCTCGTATCTCACTAGATGCTATTTCTTCAAATATATTGGTAGCGATCGTAATGAGTAATGATTTTAGGAATGTTAAAAAAATTCCTAAAAACAACGCCTGAGATTATAAACAAGGAAAAATAAGTTTTCAAAAATATAGTCTATAATGCCACAGAGAGAATTTATTGACTCATCACCATTGGGAGGCCCAAATGAGAAATGAGATAAAGAAATGTTTAAAATCAAATGTTATATGGAAGCATAGTAGGGCTGGGAACCAATATTTAAAAAAAAGATAAACGAATTATTGTATTGGTATTGGGTTTAAAATATTGATATTGGAACAATATTTTCCATTTCTTTTATTGGTATATATTGGTTTATATCGGTATTGGTTTAAATTTAAATTACTAATTAGAATAGAGGTAGTAATTTAAAAAACCCGTAAATTCTAGTTTTAAATAAACATGAAAAAAAAATCATGAAGCATTACCATAAAAGAAGTAACTCTCAAAATTTTACTGAATCCATCTTTTTTTAAAGTAGGAATTTATTAGGTGATGTGAATATAAAAATTTTGATTTAATCATAGATTTTTTGTATCAACAAACCTTACTAAACCAATCAAATAATAAATTTGAAACTTTTTATTTAGCACAAAAATATAGCAAAATGAGTACACTAAAATACAACATACTGTCTATTTATATATAATACAGTGCAAAAGTTTGATATAAATTTAATATAAGGGAATTTTATGTCTTTAAGAAGGATCCTGCATGCGCATCCAACTTTTTAAGCACAGGCAAGCTGGATAGTATGAATCTAGTGAATAACGTTGGTCCGTTATAACATACCGTCCTTCTGAAAAGGCCTTTTCAAGGCTGGCGGAGATGGAATTGCAAGATAATTTCTGGCAATTTTCGATAATATTTGATATCTATTTTTATTTAAATTCTACCCATTAGAAATTGTGACTTTATACATATATTTGCTTATTTCTAAGCTATTATTGTCATGACTATGTTTAACTTGATATGTTTTATCATAAAAGGACACTTTTTTGTATTTATTTTTATTTCATTTATATGTTCAGCAGAATTGAAATAATTTATTTTATAAATATTACATTCTTCGGTTAGATATCCAATGAGAGTTCCTATACTATTATCCTTTAAGGTGATTTGATATTTTAAACCGTGAGTCAATGATTGTTGATATAATATAAAGTTTTTATAAAATTATAGTATTTATCAAGTTTTGCTTAGGCAGCTAAAGAAGCCCTCTTTAAAATAGTATTAGGAATATTACTGTAACTCTCAACATGCTCAAAAATGCTGGAATATAAAGGAATGATGGTTGAAACTAATGGAGTATCCACATGAAGCCATCTCTATAGTGAAATTAAATGGTTCCAGAAATTCTCGATATATTTATATATTATTCCAGGCTAAGGCATTAATATAATTTTCTTCTTTGGTATTTTGTAAATGATTGGTATATGTTGTCATTGTCATATAGGGTTTGAGCAATATTGCCCTTTCAAGCATTTGGTATATGGAATTCCAAAGTGTTGGTATATCCAAACTTGGACGAGGAAATTCTAAAGTTAGATTTTTTTCAAGAAAGATTTTTTCAGGTTTATTAAATTTAGATATAAAAATTTTAAAAATTTTCTTATAAAGTTTTATTTAAGTGTTCCAAGGCGGCCATAACAGCCAAATGTACAACATGAGAAAAGCATGCACACATTATTTAAATTAAAATTATCTTTTTGATTTAAAATTTTTAGAAATGCTAAATTATTATTTGAATTATCTAATGTAATACAAAAAAAAATCAATTTCAAATTTTACTTTAAAAATATTTTAAATATTAATAGAATTATTTGCTGATTTAAAAGAAATGAAATCTAATAAATGATTATTTAATTTAAAATAATTACCAATATAATGAATTGTTATGCCCATATAGGGTATTTTATTTGGAGAGGACCATATGTCCATTCTTAATGAAAATTTAGATGTAATTTTAGAAAGTACAGAATTTAGATTGTTAAAAGAGCTATAATAATGTTTCATAATTAATGTATTTTTCTAGAATCTAATGTTAGTGAAGGGTTATATATGCTATAAAATTTTTAAAAGTGATATCCTCAACCTTTGAAAAGGATAAGTTATTTTGAATTAAAAAGTCTATATTATTAATAAAAAATGATTTTATTGTGTTAATTTTTTTTACAGCTAATTTTATTTGTATATTTTGGGTATATGGATCTAAGATGTGTCCATAACCCTGAGGTTCCAAAATTGGGAAGAGATATTTTTTATTTATTAAAAATAGCCTTCTTTTTGTTATGGCATCTCGTATATAATTCCCAGATTTTTGCTGTATTTCGTCTTTTATTAGATATTGATGTTTGTTCATGTTCATTATCGTTATTAGTATCATCAGAATTATCTATATTTACTAACACTATTTGGTCTTCATCCATTATATCCTAAATGAATAGATAAAAATTGATAACATGTAAAAAATTCCCATAATAAAAATAAACTACAATTATAAAAAACACCAATATTGATATCACAGTACAGAAAGGTTAGTATTTACACTAAAGAAATATCGGATGTAATAAGTTTAGGCAATTTAAAGAAAGAAAAAAATATATACCGTGATATAATCATCTAAGATAAAAAAACCAAATAATTATATGTATTTATCTATTTTTAATATTTGTATTGGGATTGGTTGATATTGTATTTAAACAATATATCAAATCAATCTATTTATGTAATTGTTATTGGCCCCACCCCTAAAACATATTATTAATTTCGTAACATTCTTTTATTTAGGTTTATTACAAGGCTGAGATTGTAAGCAGTATCCCTTATAATACTATTGCTTTTTCTACTTCCTCAAAAATTTTATTTTAATTTTTAAATCAATATACCAGATCACCGACTCATCAAATTATATTTTCGTACCAATAATCTGATCTACTTTAAAATGTATAGAGATTTGGATTAATAATTTCTTTAAAGACGTCGGGGTCAAATCAGAAGAAATTCTAAGGAGCCTCGTGAAGGCTTATATTTAGGACAAAGGATAGATACGCATCTTTAAGGCAAATTATGTTTGTTTTATTAATTCAATAGCCCCTGATGATTTTTTTCTTATTCATAAAAAAAAATCTTCCCCTTTTTTTTAAAAAAAAAATTTCCTCTCACAATATAATAATTTTTTTAAGTTAAATTAATAAAAAATAATTATGTTAATAATATAATTAAAATTATTGTTTCTTAAATACTATCTAATCTTCATATTAATTATGATGATAATTATATATTGGTAAATATTATATATTAATTTATCAAAGGCGGATCCAGGATTTTCCTAAGGATGGGACACGAGCACACATTTTTAGATCAGATCCGAGCCAGACTAAATAATTTATATAATGTAGGTATAAGTATTATAATATCTAACAAACAAAAATG